TGGCTTTCCCTGTTGGGGGAGTTCTAAAGAACAGAACTGCAGGCAAAAGAGGAGAATAAAATAGATGAGTGTGATGGAACTACCCATGGAGTCGGCAGCAGGTAGTTGCCTGATTGATCTTCCTTGCCTAGAGAAGAAGGAAACTGAAAGCTGTGGGCTACTTTATCAGGAGTCCTTATAAAGAGATACTGAATGAATCCCACTGAATTGCTGTACTGGAAGGTATGGAAGGTATCTCTCTTCAGTGTGACCCTGCCCCTCAATGGTTTAATACAAATTGTAAAATATATAGAAGGAAGCAAGATAACCTAGAACTTAGAGAACAACAAGTTAAGGGAAAACTGGAGTAATATACTGAAGAGTGAAAAATTGGACTAGAGAGTTGTAAAGATTAGATGCTAAACTCAATGAATCACAGTGCATGATGAAGTGGGAAATAAAATTTGAAATCCAGAGGGATCCCTGAAGATATTGAAAATAAACATCTTGTAGTTTTTAGATTATATCTTAAAATATTATTTGGCATCCATTAATATTACAGCTACATTGACTGAACCCTTCCATATGAGAGTGACCACTGTTGCTAAAAGGCTTCAAGATGTAGTAATATTCTTGCAGTATTTTATTTATGTTATTTTTCATTTATATAAAACAACTTGATGTGACCATTTCACCAAATTAAAGTCCATAAGGTGACAAACTTAAAAGCATTAAAACAATTAAAATACTTGTAAAAATCTAAAATGCAATTAAAACTAAAATCTAATTAAAATTTAATTTGAAAACTATGTGGGATGTAGTATTATTAACCCCATTTATCTTCCCCCCCCCTCTTCTAGAAATTTGGAGTCTGCTTCTAATCAATTACACTTTGATCAAAGAGAACTTCAAGGAGAGAAGAGGCAGGAAGGGAGGTGTGGGAATATACCAGAGTGGAAATATACCAAAATTTGATCACACTACCTCAAAAACTTTGGTGTCTCTTTCTTTATTGAAATAGTAGTGTCATAAAATAAAAACTCTGGAAAAATAAAGCCCCAGAACCAAACCTAGCCTCAGAATTTTATAAAGCCAATAAACAATATTGAGAGCTCTTTGGTAACATTAAAGAATGAATCCCTTTATATGAAAGAAGTTTGAACTTGCTGGAATGAAGTTCAAATAACAGTGATCCTGAAAGTAGGGCAAGATATATCTCAACTAGTTTCTTACAGAATGATTTGAAAATATGATCATAATTTTATTTATTTACTTACTTACTTTGCTTAACTTACTTCATTCATACCCTGCCTTTCTTTGCAATGGGGGCCCAAAACAGATTTCATCATTCTCCATTTTATCTTCACAACAAACCTGTGAGGTGGGTTACAACAACCTTGAGAATGTGTCACTAGCCAAAGGTTACCCAGCAAACTTCCATTGCAAAGTGGGATTTTGAACCTGGTCTCTCAGATTCTAGGCTAACACTCTAACCATTACACCACCCTCGCTCTTGTATGTAATAGAATGGAACAAGCAATTCCAAAATATAATGACTTGGATTAAAACACCGTTATATGGAAAAAGCAAATAATCAAATATAAGATTAATAGGACTGATAAACCTAAGGAAGAGACTATGCTAATATTCCTGGACACCAAGAAGGCCTTTGATCAAGTTGAATGGTGATAGCCATATAAAGTTTTAGATTACTTTAATCTGGAGGTCCAATTTAAAAGTTGGATCTCCTTGATATGTAGAATCTTAGAATCACAGAGTGGGAAGGGGCCATATAGGCCATCTACTCCAGCCTCCTGCTCAATGCAGGACCAGCCTAGAGCATCCCTGACAAGTACTTGTCTAGCTGCTGCTTAAAGACTGCCAGTGAGGGGGAGCTCACCACCTCCCTAGGCAGATGATTCCACTGTGGCACAACTTACCGCAAAAAAGTTTTTCCTAATATCCAGCCAGTACCCTCCCACCCTTAATTTAACCCCCTGATTGCGAGTCCTATTCTCTGCTGCCAACAGGAACAGCTCCTTGCCCTCCTTTAAGTGACAGCCCTTCAAATACTTAAAGGGAGCAATCATGTCCCCCCTTAACCTCCTCTTCTCCAGACTAAGCAGATAACCATCTATCTGCCAGAATTCAGATTAATAGGAATTTTTATCTGCCAGGATGCAGAGTATTGCTTTAACTTTTCATTCTTGTTGCTGAGCCTTTGCAATCTGAGATAATGAAAGAATACATGGAATTCCATTTAAAAATCCACTGTCAAAATTTTCTTTATGTGGATGATGTGGCATTTGTGCTGACTAAACCAATGGAGTCAACAGGATCTTAAATCATTAGTAGAATACAATCACTAAATTATTGGGAGAATTTTTGATACGCTGTCCAAATTTTATGGATGGGCAGAATCTTAGCATTAAGATCAAATATCTTGGCTAAAATCCTTTGCCTCCCAGTCAGAATAACGAGAGAGAAAACAGTTTGGAAGTACACAAGAGCCACTTTATTAACTATTTAACATAACATGGTGGCAAGGGACCAACTAAGCGAGCATGGAACAGGCAAGGCAGGTATCACTCTCCTGACCAACCTCCTTGCCCTTTTCTCGGGTGGGTCACCCAGCTCCAATCTTGAGCTTGCAACCGGCAGCCCAGCAAAAATGGTTGCCACCTAGGAGTGCCTACCCCTGAAGCCTTCCAAGTTGCAGAGAGGAGCATATCCTAAGAGGTTCCCAGAGGTGATCACCGTTCCCCACCCTGGACCTTAAAAATCCAAAGGCAGTTCCTGATGACCCCCTGTTCCCTAATGGGGAAAATGCCATAAGGTGCTCACCAGTTCCGGTTTCTTGCCCACAACAACCTGCCACAGCCAAGACCAAGCTTCTGCTTTGGCCTTTGCTCCCACTAACAGCCCAAGGCTGACCTAATCCCTTACCGCAAGTCCTGTAAAAATAACGCATTGCCCTTGTCTTACAAGTACACCCTGTCGGCCCAATACAGGTCCTGGAACTAGACCTGTATATTGGGGTGCAGCAAAAATTGCCCTAAACCACCCTCCGTGGCCTTTCTCATCTGGCGGTTGGCTTTATGCCTGGCACGATTGATGCAGTGGGGGTCTCCCAAGTTATGCCATGCCTGGCAGGGCAGAATAGCCGACCAGACTATCTGCACACCGGGCCACCTTGCTCTTATCATTGCAAGGTCAGCCTCAGCTTGTAACACAAGGGCCTTGCCCTTCATCAGACCTAAGTCATTACCCCCTAAGTGCACTACCAAAACATGTGGAGGAAGCCCCTGCCTCTCTTTGAATAACATGGAAAGGAGTACAGGCCATCTGATGCCCCTCCTTCCCAACCATTTGACAACAGCCTTCTCGCTAATGCCCAGTTGAGAACCGATGGGTGTCCTCCTGGCCCAGTGAGCAGCCCAAAAGACCATGCTGTGACTGCAGACGGTGACTCTTTGTCTTACCCTGCAGCCTGCAGCACCTGTAAGAGGAACCCTATTAATAACCTAAACATAGCATTAAACTTTGCAATCCTGCACGTATCCCCTGTAACAACACTATTTCCAGCAACCTATCTACTGAATCTCGCTATTGGAATACCCCATGGATGCTGCTGTTGAAGATGCCCCAATCCGGAAGGAGTGGGTTCTGAAGTGGAACCCACCTAATCCCAACCAGACCAGCACTTTCTGTGTTAGGACCCAAAATTGAAACTGGGTGAGGGGAGTGTCATCCCTGTGTTAAAATAAATAGCCTACGCCCTCATCCTGCATGGCTAAATATTGGCATAATGCCAGCACCAGGCATAACTCAGCCTCGGAACACTGGCCCAGCTCGATAACAGAACCCCTGCCCAATTGGTCAGTCTTTGACTGCTGAAGCATGATCCTAACTTTGGTGTCCAGCATGTGAATATCACGCCGGTTGAGTCCCAGGCCAGATGCATCCTGGCAAAAGCCAGCCACCAACTCACTGATCCACAGTGCCCCCCAAAAGGCAACCAGTGATGCTGCGTGGAACAGTGCAGCCTCATATCCTTCACTGCAAAGTGTGTGCCACTGTGCCTTAAGCCCCATCAGCACTATTGGGGTCAACAGTTCCCTAGAGTCAACAACCTTACCACCCTCCCTTGACTAGCCTTCGAGCATCTTCCTAATGTAGAAGTCACTCATCTTCTCCTCAAACACTGATGCCTTTCTGGCATAGGCGAGAGATGACAGCTTGCCCCTAATGGAACGCGCTGACAGGTCCTTACTTTGCAGTGACACACAAAACTGCATCAAATGGGCCACCAGTATGGGCCAAACTTGTCTTAGACCGGTTTTCTCCCTATAGGACACAAACGGCTTACCCATCCTCTTATACACTCTCCGGGTGGAAGGGGTGAGAGCTAAATTTATTGCCCTGTCGGCCTCAGCCTGCTAATCTGCCACACCTCCACCGGTATCCGAACCGGGAACTGGTCAGCTTCCATAGCCAGCTTGTGGAATCTCTCCATCTGTTTTCAGGAGAGAGCCTCAGCGACCCCGTTACTGACCCCTGGGACATGCCTGGCTTTGAACAAAATATTGTTCGGCAAACAACGGAGTGTGAAGTCTCTGACCAGGGCCATGACCCTCAGAGACCTGGATGTCAATGAGTTAATCATGTGCACTGAGGACAGATTGTTGCACCAGAAGTGGACAGTATGGTTGACCAAATCCACACTGCTACAACAATTGGAAAAAATTCCAAGAAGGTGAGGTACTTGACCCACCCTGCCTGGAACCATCCCTCAGGCCAGTCCTCAGCACACCAATGTCCATGGAAATAGACTCCAAAGCCAGAGGAGCCTGCAGCATCAGATGTGACCTGCAGTTCAGCTTCGACTAGAAGGTCCTCCCACCAAAAAGACACCCCATTGTATGAATCCAAAAATTTCTTCCATACAATGAGATCATCCCTTATCCCCTTGGTAATCCTGGTCCTATGGTGCGGGAGATGGAGACCCCTCATGGACTCACATAGCCTCCTAACAAATGCCTGGCTGGGTGCCACAACTTTGCACGCAAAGTTCAGGTGGCCAACCAGCTGCTGCAACTTCAGCAAGGTGATCTTTTTCTTCACCCTGGCCATGTCAATCAGCACCTGCAGTGCATCCAATTTGTCAGCAGGTAACTTACACAGGTGCCCAACTGTGTTGATTTCTATACCTAGGAATGTCAAAATGGGAGTAGGGCCCTCAGTTTTCTCCTGGGCAACAGGAACTCCCAGATCCTCTGCCAGGTCCATGAAGCTGGTCAGTAAAAATTCGCACTGCCCTGTATCTTTTCTCCCTGCCAACAAGAAGTCCTGTAACACAAGGCCCATTCTAAAAAGGAACTGAACCTCTCGAAAGCAGCACAGGACACAGAGCAACCAATCAGAAGGGCCCTATCCATGTAGAATTTGCCCTCGAAGGCGAAGCTTGAAATCACCTGGGTGGACCGGGAGGAGACAGAAGGCTGACTTAATGTCACATTTTGCCAATTCCGCCCCCTGGCCACAGCGGCGCACCATTTAACATGGCCTGATCAAATGAGGTGTATCTAACTGAACAGAACTCCTCTGGTATCGCATCATTCAACGACTCCCCATGTGGGTAGGACAGGTGGAGAATGAGGCGATACTCACCAGGCACCTTCTTCACCACCACTCCCAATGGGGAAACCCTCAAATTGTTAACTGGTGGGTAAGGAAATGGGTCAAGTACCCTACCCTCCCTACACTCCTTTTCAATTTTTTATCTAACTATGTGCTCCATCCCCTTAGCTGATTTCAGGTTAGGAGCACTATATCACCTTCTCTTCCATTGATAAGGTATCCTAAACCCTAGAGTGAGACCTTCCAAAAGGTAAGCACCATCCCGTCAGTTGGGGTAATCCCCCAACTGATGCTCAAGCACTTCAACTTTAATTGGGCTGGGACCCTTTGTCAGGAGGGGGGTTATAAACACGCCTCCTCCAGGACACTTACCTCCCTTGCCTCCTGACCTTCCCTTTGTTTTGGGCAGCCTAAGAGGGTGTTGGGCACACAAAGGGCACTCATGCCTGAAGGAACATGACTTGCAGCTGCATGTCCCGTGGGAGGTGAACTCCCAGCAAAGCGGGCATCGCTGAACCACCTGCCCCGCCTGGGCATGGGTACCTGCCTGACCTTGTGACTTGCAGACGGAGTAGCCATTATCTGTCCTCTCATTGCCAAATCGTCGATAGGGAGACATGATCTGCAGCCATAAGTGCAGATGTAACTGGTCCCATCTCAGGGCTGGATTCATGGCTGCCCTCATCCTGAACTCCTCATCGTACGGAAGCCATGCAGGGCTCAGGAAATCTGTAAATTCTTTATAAATTATGTACATATACTAGAGCATTGCTGAAGCCCTCCATGGTTGATGTCTTACTATCACCGCCGTGTAAATTAAAAATCCTGGGAACCAATTTGCCCAGATCCTGTCTACAGTGCACCTCTTCAGGCGTTCCTTCTCCTGTTCATCTAGGTTCTCCTTATCTTTCTTCTCCAATTCCCTGTATAATAATTTAAAGACATCCATAAACTCTCCCTTAAGGATTTTATCCCTAGTGGCAATGGAGAGGTGATATCCAAGTGGCAAAGCCAGGTCCCCAAAGGGAAAGGCACCTGCTGAAACTGAGTCATATCCAGAACCCCCCAAATTTACAAAACCCGCACATGAATTTGGGTAGCCCCATCCAGGCCATACTTCCCCATCCTGCATAGGGTGACCAACAAACCGGCACTGCATGACCAACACTACCTTGTGTGTTGTGTGCAATATAACCAGTGGCACCTTGGGCACAGGGCCCCCAAGGCCAATAAGACACACCTTGACCAGTATTCTCAGCCTTACCTTCGCTCCTTGGGAGTCCTTTATAAAGCTCCACCTGGAGCTCCTCTGTGCCCTTGCTCTCCCGCTTGTCATCCAAGTGCTGCCTTTGGACCAGCTGACCAGATGTTGATGCCACTTCACCCTGTCTGTCCTCAAAAAGAGCTAAACGCGTCAGCACCTGCACCTGGAAAGAATGTTTGGGAAAAGATTTAGACATGTCACCAGATGGAGGATGCTCACCCTGCCGACTCTCAAGGGCTGCAAGCCTCTCTAGGATGGCTGCATTGACAGGGTTCTGCTATCCTCGTCAGAAGAATTTAAAAGAGTGGGCTGCTTTGGAGGCTTCTGAGTAGGTTTCTTTGGGGCTGGCTGCTTGCCCCTTCTTGGGTGTCATGTCCTTTAAACTAATTTCCAAATAGCAGGCCTTCCCCAAACAGCCGCCACTGCAATTGCTCTCAAATTGTCGCCCTTTGATACCCACTCAAAATGGCCACCCCAAAGAGACTTCCCCAAAATGGCCGCCTGCAGTAGACCACCCTAAATGACCACTTCTAGATGGCACCACCCAAAATGGCCACCTAACTGCCATTCCTTAACAGCCAAGAGGGTATGTTTATACAAAATGGCCACCAGGGAGCAATGCCTGCCAAAACCACCTTGGCCGTTTAGTCAAACTCCCCTGATGACCCAGCCGAGCTTTTAAGCAGGCTTGCCACCAACGGCCACTCCTTTCTGGGGCTACTTTCAAATCACACCCAGAGAATGGAAACTGCTGTGGCAACCGACCCATGGTGCCCTCCCAGTACCAAATTCCCCAGAGCCCAGCCGCTTGGGGGGGAACACCCAAAAACTGCTGCTGGCTGTGACCGTGGGCCACCACTGACGGATCAGGTCATGACTCACTGGGCTGAAACCCTCCCCGTATGAAGCGTCTAGTAATCACACGTACTAGGTTGCTGGTGCTGACTATTCACAGTGGATTTATTTACACAGATATACACAGTCTCTTTAGCACTCTCAGACTCAAATCGCTGTACAATCCGACAGAGTGCTTCGCAGCAAGGCATTCACCAGAGTGAACATCTCTACAAGTACTGTACACAATATATACACTCCCAGCACCAATCAGGGTCCAGTGCTGACTCATGGTGACATCATTTGGCTGATGCAACTTAGGTGCAATCTAGACCTGGTGACATGATCACATGACTCTCTTAGCTGTCAACCAGGCTGTCATCTTGTCCCCATACATGATAGTATGCTGACAGAGCCACCCTTCCCAGAGCCGCTCCTGAAAAAACCACGCCACAAACCACTACTGCCAGCCCTGGGGGTGAAGGAAATGCGGCTGCGGCTGCCTAAAATGGGCCACTGCTTGCTGCTGCCCCAGAAGACCACTGGATGCTTCTCCTCTTCCGCGTTGCCCAGAGCCACCCGGGATCAGCACTGCAGCCACTCAGGCTCGCCGCGCTGGATGCCTCTGCAGACTGGGTCCAGGCCAGCAAAGTAGGCTACGGCCGTTTCTCCAACTCTGTGCTCAAAGCTACACCTTCGAGTACAAGTCTGCGGTCTTGGTTCATTTAATGCAATAGTGTATGTTTGTTTAGGATTGCAGTTTACTTGGCTTTGGTTTTGTTCCAAGAGACTCCTGTGATTCTACTATGCCTTTCCAGCATAAATGAAAACAATTCTGGTTCCTAGTCTCTCACATTTAATGCCATTTTTGTAACACATGAAACAGAAATAATAGATAAATAAATACTATTGTGGGGGTGATGATCTTTGTGGAGGAACACTGTGGTGGTATTAATAAAGAACTGTCAGATCATGTTTTATGGTTAAATGTGTTTTTAAAATAAGGGGGGATATCCAGTTTTTTAAATATTATCTGATTTTACACACATTTTTATTGAGGAATCCCAACAGACTGAGATATAAACACCTTTTGAATCAATAATCATTGGCTGCCTCTTTAGCTGGGGAATTAGATTATTCTCATTATTAGATGATACTTCACCAAAGTATATGATGAAGTAGGGGAGAGATTTATTTTGGGGTAGAAGAAAGGACTTAATTTGGGGACAGGCATTTCAGAATTTGAGGACAAGGCACTTTTGAAACTTATGGATTTAAAAGGAATTTTTTATGACTGCAGTTGGGACTGTACATCTCATAAACTCATCTGTAAGTTCAGAATTTTTTAGATCATTGTAAGAGTGATTATATAAATACAGTTTCTCACCATTAATAACAGATTAAGACTGTATGATTATGACGTACATTAATGAAAGTTTAATGTTTCATGCATTTTAGATGAAATATGAGCATACATTATAGATAGAAAATATTGTTATCAATGATAAAAACCCACAAGACTGGAAAGATTACCATATATATTGGGGGGGAAGGGTCTTGTGAAGGAAACCCATTGGGAAGAAGTGTATTCAAGTAGAGCTAGGGAGTAATCCTGAACAAGTCTACCCCAAAATACACGTCATTGCATTTAATGGGATTTATGCTGAAGCCAGTGTTGTTATCATTGCAATCCTACTCTACCAGGTCATAAAAGCTGTGTTGCCAATTTGGCAATCAGAGCATATAGGCAAGGTACCGAAATCTAAGACCACTGTCATGAATTCATGTTTTGAACAATGTTTTAGCCTGCCACTAGGGTGAAAACAATAATTTCAGTGTTGAAATAAGCACTGTGTGAACTATAATCCATCATAAGATTACAGTCACAGTAGCCATATTGGGCTCTGCAATGGCAAGTATGTATGCAATTAAAAAAAACCCCTAGTAAATAACATTAAAATCTCACATATTCTATCATGGATTTTCATAGCATATCTGCTTTAGTGAGAACATTTTAGACAATCCTAGTAGTTTAAATAAGATAAGAGCTTTTTAAAAGTATTCAGAATGTAGGTTAGTCAGATATTAAAAATACAAATGTTATGAAACATAAAGCAATATATTCCACTTGAGGCAGTGGAAAACTGAGACTATCTAATTCAGTGGTATTACAATGTTGTATATTGGATTAATAGAAAAGGTAATAACAATGTTCAGGTCTGTTAATCATCTAAATCTTTTTCTGAATGGTGGAAATCATATGAATTACAATCCTCCATGGTACATTAATGTTCTCCTGGTTATTGATTGATATTGCCTGGGTCTTGAGGCACAGTCGAAAGAACCACTGTGGGTGAAGTTATATCAGTCTGCGTCTGGTCAGTAGAATGTCCATGTATGCCACCTTGAAAAAAAAAGTACCTAGAAGAAATAAATCAACAAAATAGAATATTCTACCCAGGAGACCATGCTGCTGTGATGCTGAACTTTTCATTTGTGTTACTATCCATGCAATGGGTCACAATCACTGAACTGAGTCAGTCAAGTAGTATATCTTTCAAATCACCTTTTTTTCCTATGGTGCATCAGTGTTTCCTTCCATTTCAGCTATTATTGATGGTCTGCTTTAAAGTGTTACAGTTTTTCTTTAATGACTTAAAAAAAAATCTGCCCAGTGTCTCCCCTAAAATATTGATGCTACCCCATGAAAATTGGAAGTGGAAGGGAGGAGCGCTTGTTTCACAGATCATTTTCACTTGGTTTGCCTGTTGTTCAGTTTGTCTCACCCTTCCAACAGTTCTTTTTGCAACAGGTAGTGTGATTATTAAAGTCATCTTGCCTGTGTTTTTATAACTGTAGTTTTATTATGTGTCAAGTGTTTAAAGTTCACATGACAGGTATAATGAAAGGTTTAGTAAGAAAACCATCATACACTGGAGAGTTCAACATAATTAGCAGATGCAGTACCTAAAGTGCATTACATATTTGCTTAGCAAGAGAGAGAGAGAGAGAGAGAGAGAGAATAATATTGAAATGATGGCAGAGAAAATGATTGCTGTGCAGGGTTTTTTTATTCAAGTGGAATGGATGTATTAAGTGCATAATTCATCCCAGAACAAAAAAAACAAAAACAAAACTAATTATAGTACAAACCTGTTTTTAAAATTAATGTATTTGATGTCCATCATCTGTAGAAAAAATGGGCTAATTTAAAACTACTTCAAAGGATTTTTTAAAAATATTGGGCTGAATCTAAATGTGACCTTCTACTCCCAGGATAGCCTTCCAGTAACCAAAGAAACAATTCACTCTGAGACTGAGTGCTTATGAGAGAAGTCCTGCATACATGGAATGGGTCTTTCTGTCCATGAGCAGAAGGACAACTTTAGATGCAAACAACTATATGTAGAGATGGTAAATTATCTGCAGTGTTATTTTGTGTCCTGCTTGTTCATAGTGACCACAGGAGCCAAATGTGCAATGGACTATTTTTCTGCATCTGAACAGCTCAAAAAGTCTGATTACTGGGGGGGGGTGTGTGTTAACTGTGCACACTGATTGTCATGATCTGTGCAGGGCTGGGAGCAGGGCCTAGTGCGGCCTAGTCCTAGGAGGGACCTGCATGGCAGTGAGCAGACAGTCTACAGTCCCCATAAGGCTTAGCAACAGGCTATAGCCAATCAGAGAGGAAGATTCTGTGAGAAGACTGTTGAACTGTGTGAGGAGGGTCGGTCTTAGCCGTTAACTGAGGGAAAACAGGGTGTTCTTTCAAGTCTCTCTCTGCGGACTGGTCTCACTGTGGGGACAGGCTGGTCTGGGAGAGAGGAAGATCTCCACTGGGCTCAGCGTGAGTGCTAGGGAGGCTGGGGGCCTGGAAGTAGAACAGGTAGCTGCGTTAGTTTATGTTTATTTTGCCTTTTCACACTGTTATACCTTTTTAAGCACCTTGCCCTGTCTTGTTTTCCGTGCCCCAGTGTTATTTTAATAAACCCTTTCTGTTTAATTATTTTCTCTGCCTGGGTCAATCAAACCTGTGTGTTCTCGGCTGTAAAGGGGGCATTTTGTATGTGCTTGAGAGGGTACCCTGGGCCTTCTCAACAGGGACCATAAGTCCAGGGTGGTGGCGGCGGAAGGCAGAGACCCCCTGGGGTCATGACACTGATGATTATAAATTTAATAAACAGATAAATTTCAAATAATTTTTTTTGAGGACTGGTACATAGCGATGAGTAAAAGCAGCCATGCAGGAATCAAACCAACAATGCCCTGATTTACAGGACAGGAATTTACCCACTGAGCTAAACACAGGTCTTGTGTTTTACTGCTGAG